GAGACAATGCAACCCATAGCAGCCGCTCTCTGTGATAAACATATGAATACATTGCCTATGATTTGGGGATGAAAAGTGTTTCTGGGTGCAGGTGTGTGGTGGTTAATAGGACAAAATGAAAGCAAATCTAACAGGAGAGAGGTTAGCACAAAGGATATTTGTGAATAGAACAGATACATAATTTAAATAAAAACAGTTATGGATAATAAATAAGGAGCCATGTGGATTTTCAGTGAGAAGTTATACATAATGGTGATTCATATTCAATTAGAGAGGCTGTGTTTTAAAATGTCTAGGAAATAAAAACTTAGAATTGCACTTTTGGAAGCAGGGAGCTTTTCACTGCACGGAATAACCCACACTGCTGTTATGTTGGATGTTAGGTACTTGGTTTCAACTCGAAGCACTTCTGTGGACAGCAGAATGCAACACGCCCCTCGCCCCCCACACACCATCATTATCACCACTGCAATATTTGCATCTACTGTGGCAGTCATCATTGCCAATCCATCTATTTGAAGGTTATTCTCTTTTGGTTTTTAATGTCCTCCTAATTTACTAAGCATGATGTCCTTCTTCAGCTACTGGTCCTTCCTGATAACATGTTCAAAGCACTGAGAGAAAGTAGTTCCCTCTAATGACTAATATCCCAGAGGTTGCTGAGATTCAAGCATTCTAGTTTAAAATGTATCAAGCAAGATAACAAAGTGTTATAGGGAATGCAACAGGGGTGGGGAGTGGGTGCTCAGGAGGGAACAGGGACTTTAGGAGTAAATAATGAAGGGGGTGGGGAGGGAGAACAGATGGTGATTGCCCAACTCATTTTAAAGATGATTTAACTATGGGGTGGGGGTGGGGGGAAATGCTCTCAGACAGATGTGGTGCCGATTGTACAATTTCCCTTGATATGATTGAACGATTGAACTATTCATGTATGACATCTAAGTTGTGTGCTCATCAAATGGTTGGAAGAAAAACAAAGACTGCAAGAGAACCCTCGAATCAGAGTCAAGGTGGCACTCGCAGGGAGTGTAAAAATTCTGGATTGAAGTCATACTACTTAAAACATTTTTCGTGATCCGCCCAAGTACTAACAAGCTAACTGTGGGCTTCTAGGGAAGTTGGTCTTGAGATTCAGATTGTAGGACTGTACATCTTCAGAGATGCCACGGAGGGGAGGGCAGCTATTAGGTTTAGAACCTGCCCTCAGAAGGTACTTTGCTATGAAATAATAAAGTATGTTTCCTTTGTGCAAGAGTACATTTTCAGAACAGAATAGAAAACCAGGACTCCTTTCTCTGAAGAGGGTCATCAGAGGTTGTGACTAGTGATAAGGGACATATAGAGTCTCTCTACTCCATCTGCGTTTCCTGCACATCACTGAATGAATTCCAATTTCACCAGTGAAAGAAACCTAGCTGGAGGCATATAGAATTATCCCTTCTAGTTGGCTCTGGGGAGAATTAGACTGTGGAAGTTAGGTGGGATTGGAATTAAACAGTGAAGTTCCTAACAATAGGATGACTTGCTTATTTTAAGCTGTATTTCATTTAACAATATATTAGCTAGGCACACTGTTGAAGAACATATCTATTATATAAATGGAGTAACATTGGATTTTTAGCAAGAGTTTGTGGAATTACAAGCCTTAAATACCACATAACTGTCACAAATGAATGTCATCAAGTTAAGTTACCTAGAGTCATCATTTCTCAAGGATACGCTAACTCCCACTGAGTGCTACCGGGATGAAAAATAAATACATTTTGGTGTTAAAAACAGAGATATGATAAAGAAGAGAGACATCAAATAAAAGAAGACATCAAAGCAGCCAAATTATATTGAAAAATGTGAAAACTGAGCCAGTTACTGGAACAAAGGTTGAATATTAACAGGTAGCGTCTTCCCCTGGTGCACATAAATACCTCTCATTAGTGATAATGGATACTGTGAGCACACCAGAAAGAATATGTTTCTTAGTAATGTACTTTGGGGAGAGACTGGAAGTAATAACTAGAGTAGTATATGAAGGTGGAACTGTAAACAAATAAAGATTAATTGAGAATGATTTTTAGAATTTGATCTAATGGAAGTCATCCATTAAGAACTTTATCTCCTTAGGGTCTTCAAATTATTAGTCCTACCCAAGAAAACAAGCTGCTCATTACAAATCTCTCTTTATCGCCCCTCACATACTTCTCCCATGGATTTGTGCTTTATGTATAACAATACTAATATTAGAATCCCTGGTGGTAGAATGGGGTAAGCATTGAGTTGTTAGACCTGAAGCTGGTTGTTCAAATCCTCTAGGAACTATATGGTAGAACAATAGGGCTTTCTGCCCCTGAAAATATTTACAACCATTGAAACCTTATGGGATAATATTGCCCTGCCCTGGTAAGCACTAGACTTTTAACCACAAGGTCAGCTGTTGAAATTCCCCCCAGGCACTCAGTAGGAAAAGGGTGAAACTTTCTGCTCCTATAAGGGTTTACAGTTTCAGAAATCTTATAAAAATAAGTTTGCATGGCTTGGTATTGACTCAATGGCAGTAGGTTGGTTGGGTTCGGGTTCATTATGAGACTTTTGCATGGATTCTTCATCACAAACATGGCCCTGGAAGACAGACAGATCTAACTGTGCATTTCTGCTCTCTCACTGATGGCAGTAAGCTTCAGTGTCTAGTCTGTAATATAGGAATAATAGTGCCAACCCTAACTGGGTTAGTTGTCAGATTAGAAGAAACAATAATACACCGAAAATGCTTAGCAGTCAGGAAGTGTTCTCTAAATGGCCAGTACTATGATAATCTAGTACTGGGGGAGAAAGGGCTGTACTTTGATCAATTGAATGCTTTGGGAAAAAACCAAAACTCATTTAAGATTGAGTTGAATCCTCAATAGAAAACAGATGAAGAAAAGCTTGCTTTTCAAATGACCGTATGCTTTTCAAATATTTGCTCTAAATTCACATCTCATTGAGCATGATCGAAGTTCAAAAAGATAGAAAAATGAACCAGACTTTGGTAGCTGGAACATTGAAGACCAGTTGTACACTTAGTGTTCAGTGACATAGTAGGCATTCCTTAGCTTGACTCAAACACTCAAGATAGGATGAGAATACAGGAGGCAAATAGCTCTGACCAGCATTTAAGTTCAACACAGACATAGTTTGTCTTCAATAATGTGTACAGATGATTAGAACTGGCACTCATTTGTGCCTTTGAACTGAATCTTCAACATCCTTCTTGTCTAACAAGAGAAAGAGGCCCTTCCTTCCCTCACATGGAAAGTTCAGATTACTATTCTATATATTTAACCATTTATTTGCAATCTGGGATGCCAAATGAATTATTAATTGAACGTCTAAGGACCTATCTCTGGGATAAGGGTCGTTCTGAGATCAATATGGACTGGTGATCAAACAGCAGGTTCTATAAGTTTGGCCTATCCTCAACTGCTGAACAATTGTAAGGACTAGGATAGGAAGTCATATCAATTGAAAACCAGGCAAAGAGATCCAAATTATTTCTGGTTATTTGCTTTAACTGAGTAATTCCTAAACCAAAAAACCAAGCCCACTGCTATCAAGTTGGTTCTGATTCATAGTGACCCTTTGGGACAAAGTAGAACTTCCTTGTGGATTTTCAAACTTATACAGAGCTTTGACTTCCTCCTGCCGAGTGACTGGTGGGCTTGAACTTCTGGCTTTATGGTTAGCAGCCCAAAATGTAATTGATGAAGCACAAGGCCTCTTTAAAGTGTTGAAAAGCAAGGCTGCTAACTTTGAGGACTATAGTGTGCCTGACCTAAGCTACGGATTTTCAGTCACCTCATATGCATGCTAAAGTTGGCCATTTAATGAGGAAAACCAAAGGAAATCCCATGCATTTGAATTATGGTGTTGGTGAAGAATCTTGAAAATACCATGGACTGCCAAAAGGACAAACAGATCTGTCTTGTAAGAAGCACAGCCAGAATGCTCCTTGGATGTAAGGATGGTGAGACCTCAGCTCATGTACTTGAACATGTCAGAATAACCAGTCCCTAGAGAAAGACATTATTCTTGGTAAAGCAGAGGGTCAGTGAAAAAGAGGAAGACCCTCAACAAGACGAATTGACACAGTGGCTTCATCGATGGGCTCAAACTTAAGAACACTTGTGAGGATGACAAAGGACCAGGCAGTGTTCTGTGCTGATGGTCATTGGGGTGTAGAAGTCAGAATCGGTACCTAGCAACAACAAATATTTCTGCCCGCCTCCTTGGTGGCCCACATGTTTAACATGAGGAGTAGCTATCTGAAAGGCCCAGTGGCCTGAAGAACTACTTCCAAAAATAACACACTGAAAGCCTTATAGGGTAAAAGTCTATTTTTATGTCTATGAGGTTAGTAGGAATTAGGACCCACTCCATGGCAGTTGTTCAATTACTTTATTTCTTCTTTAAAAAAAGAAAAAGAAAGTTGTCAGTTTGCTAATACTGAGGACTCTCATTTAAACGACTGGCTGAGATACTCTCCTCTTTTTCTTTTTTCATTGACATTTTGATATTCGGCTGGAATAGTCTAAGAGTATCACTGACAACTCTAATTTGTTCGAACTCTTCTTAGAGCTTTCTCATCGGCAATATTTTGGGCTCCTGTTTTGTCCTTCGGAGCCGAGACTCTTGTTTTATTAGTCTGACATTTTGTTCTGACCTCTCTTGACGGCTTCTGGCCCCTGGCATACACTCTGCTTAGTCTCTCCTTTTATTTATAACTTTTGCTCTTCTGTTCAGCTCAGACTAACTCGCCGATTTGCGTTCTGGTCACACTCGCATGGCTCTATCTAATGTAAAGTCTTATCTTATTCTCTAGCACCTCTCTTTTTGCCCATGGCACTTATTTGGCTTCTTGCATGTTCATGCTGCTTTTACTCCTGTACTGATTGTATATTTAAAATATCTGCAATGTGCCAGTGAGGAAGAGCAGTTGTAGTTCAAAGAGAACACTGTGAACCATGTCTGATGCATTTAAAGCACTTTATGATTTTACAGAGCATCTTTACACACAATACCTTATTTGATCCTCACAACAGCCCTGTGAGGTAGGTGTGAAGATGTCCATTTTACCAGGGAAGGAACAGAAACAGTGAGCTACAGATAGACATACTGCTGAGAATTCTACTAGAACTTATATGAACTGAGGGATATATATTAAAATGCAAAGAAAGGAGAGCTATGAAAAATTTGGCTTGTTAATCAGTAGAGAGGCTCTCAGAAACAAGGAATCTCACACTTTTCTATTCTTTTTGTTGTTGTCGGTTTTGTTTTCCTTTGTATACCATTGTTCCTTTCTTCACTACACAAGGCTCCAGACTCTATATTGACGAGGTAAAATACAAAGAATTTTTTATATTTCCATAATCCAGACATTTTGCTTGAAATGACCAGGTAATTTAGGAGGAAAAAAGATTTAGTTTAGCTTCAATGTGTTAAATATATTATCCAAGCTCCATCTCTGCCCTTTTAGAGGTTGGAGGAAAATACTGTATAATATGGAGAATAAGACATGAAGGTAAAATAAGTCAAAATAAACTTTCTTAATATCCTAAGGAATTAAATCTGTATCTCCTCTGAATAACTATTTTCTTATACTTCACCCTGTATAGCTTTGCTGTGGTACAATTACTCATTTACTTGTCTATATTTCGATGGATGATTGGCTCTGTAGGACTACAAATGATGTTTACCTTCTTAGTTCCAGTAGGTCCACAATGGAAATATCTTGATTAGTTGAATAAATCATTTTTATGTCATTCCTATGCCTAATGTTCTAAATATAAAGAAACCACATACAATCAATAACCATGAAGTTTCTCCTAAAACCAGTGTGTTACTAGTTGAATAAATGGGAGAGGGCTCTTGTTCTATAATCTGGAACTGGTTGTAGCAGTCTGCCAGCCAGTTCATTGAAGGCATCCAGGGTAGGTGTACTGGGGGATGGTGGTAGGTTTGGGGTACTGGAGTCAGAAGAGAGATGGACATGAGAGCAGAGGCCCAAACATCACCAAGGACCAGGAGAGGATGCCATGCAGAGCCGAAAAAGACGGGAACCAAGGTCACTTGGTGGAGTCAGAAAGGGATCTTGGAAGTCAGTTGTGCTGATGATTTGTCCAGAGATGAAGGGTCTTTTATTGAGATGGTAGCAGAAGGTGTCCTACCCAACCCATCTGATCTTAAAAGGGTCCTGCCCTAATATGATCAGAGAAGTTGTACTGGTCCTGATACATATATAAAAGAGGAAATCAATGATTATTTTTATTATATTTAATTGTTGATTCAAAATATTAAAAACATTGCATTTTACATTAAGATATTTAAAATCAATTAAAACATGTAAATTTTTATTCTTTATTAAAAGTTATGTAGTTATTATATATAATTTTTCACATATCAGGATTAATTGATGATCATAGTGATCCAATCATTATCATATGGAATATATTGGCACAACTTTTTGGAGTCATTTGGAAAAACGTACACAATTTTAAAACATAGATAATACCTGAACTATTAATTTTACTTTGAACAATATTTCTATTAAAAATATTCCCAGAAGATCCTATGTGAAGATATTTGATATTGTTAAAGTCAAATCAAACTATACAAAAATCACCCATGACTAGGGAATTGAATGGCTATAGTAACTATGCTATAACTATATAATGAGAGATAATGTGTAACCATTGAATATATGTACTAAATTGGTATTATTGGCATAGTACCAAGGAAAAAGACAACCACACATAGAATCCTTTCTCTTTTTCAAACATTATAGATTTTTATAGAGGGAGTTGAACACTATATACAAATACACACAGAAATATATGTTTTGTTGCTGTTTCAAAGAGAGTATGTACACACACTCCAAAATATCTTGAATATAAAACATTTCTGAGCATATTTGAAAAAAAAGTTGTTCAAAGTGACTGATGACCTCAGGTAGCAGAAGCTAGTTTGAATTCTCAACTGTCAATTGTTCTCTTATTTGTGAAACTTGAACAGCATTAATGTTAAGAAACTCGGGAAAATTCTAAGAAAAGGAGGTGAAAGATAAAGAAGAAAAGACAAAGATGGAGGGAGATGAACATGAAGATAGATAAGAGAGAATTACAAGAGGAGCCCAACTTAAAACAAAGGTGATAAAGAGAAATGGGAATAAATGAACACAAGCAAAAGTGACCACACTGAAGAATGAACAGCCAAAGGAAGATATGCTAACATTCTCATTATCCTAATATGTTAATAATAGTCATCATTATCATTGCTGAATAATGGGAAAGCTCTCTGAGATGACTCACATTTTGTATAATATCCTTTGTTGTTTACTTTGTGGCAAGCACACATATGCGATAGCTGCTGAAAGCATCCCTAACAGCTGGTATTTCCAACAATTATATTAATTGTCAATGTGCTAAAGTAGGAAAAAGAGTATATTTTTAAGACTATGATTATGATTACAAATGGTAACTTTTTAGACAGGAAGTTTTTATCCTAAAGGTATACCTACAAGGTACACCTTCGTGGTAAAGATGCTGACCACTGGGCTGAGGTGTGCATAGCTTCTATTGGGCAAACAAGTGAAGGGCCTTTGACATTGAAGATTATTATTTTTATAATCATTGTTTTTATAATCCTTCCAATGTATTGATGTAGATTTGGTCGAGGCACACAACTGATGGAAGTGCAAACTGAAGATATCTCATGTCACAATTTCTAAAACGCAATTTACAGGTTACCTATATCACAGTATGAGGTTTCATGAGAAATTTCTAGCAAAATTTTGAACCTCTAGGACAGAAAATATCAATTTTTCAAGTTTTTTATAACACAAAACAAAATAATATTCAGCCATCAATAAATTAATCTGGAAGGAGGGAACCCAACTAGCCAGATTCATATATTTGAGGTCTCAGTTATTTCAGTTAGTTGGTAAGACAGAAGTAATTGTTTCAGTTCATAAGATGGATTTTTCTTCAGTGGATTGGAATTGGCTTGAAAATTATATAATAATCTATGTGAATTTTTAGAAAATAATGTTCATCACTGAGACAAAATACAACTGGGTAAAGAGGTTCAATGTGTATTATTTATTCGATTTGTTTTACTACAATTCATATGTTTTATCTTGGAGAAAACTGTGGCTGGCTTCCATCCACACTTCACTGATCAATGCTAATGTTTTCCACACTTGCCTCCTGTTCAGGCCCTTTTAACCAACACAGAGTCAATGCTGCCCTATCAAAACTCAGGGACATGCAGAAAATAAGACCCATGAACTTACTTTGCATGCTTCCACTTCCTTTTTCTCCTTTCTGGCCTTTACGTCCAGGAAAACCTTACGAAAGAAATAGAGGCATATTTATTTATTTATTTATTTATTTTTAATTAATCAATTTATTGGGGCTCATACAATTTATCACAATACATAGATCAATTGTGTAAAGCACATCTATACATTTGTTGCCCTCATCATTCCCAAAATTCTCTTGCCTCTTGGGTTCCCGGA